CGAAGCTGCTGCGGCGTAAGAGCCTCACGGAGACGTTGCTGCTGCTGCTGTCTCTGGCCAGCGCCAGCGCCTCCGCCCCGACCGCCACCACCGCCGCCACTGCCGCCGCCACCCCCTCCGCCGCCACCGCCTCCACCGCCACTCCCACCGCCGCCACCGACGCCACCACTCCCGCCACCACTCCCACCACCACTCCCTCCGCCACCTCCTCCTCCTCCACCTCCACCACCACCCCCCCCCCGGTGCCACCTCCGATGCCCTTGGCTCCCTTGCCCTTGCCGCTGCGGCGCCTCCCACTAGGAGCAGAAGCATCAGCAACAGACTCAGCACCAAGGAAGTCAACAGCAGCGGCAGTAGCGTAGGAGGGGGCGAGGGGAGAGGGAGAGCACCCCTCAAAGGGTGCAAGGAGCGCCACGAGCAGCACCTACAGTGACTATGCTAGTCTCGGCGGCTAGAAGCTGCTCCTCTAGGAGGTCGACAGTGAGATCGGTGGGAGAGCGAGCGAGAAAGTGGTCCCTGACCGAGGTAAGAGAGTCAGGGAGACGGGTCACTATGAAGTGGAGGGTCCAGTAGATCGGAAGCGGGTTCTTAGCTAAGAACTCTTTGGGGAGGGCGGCGCGAAGGCAAGTGTCACTAGTGCGAAGGTGGGTGATAAGATCGGCAACTGTGTCGAAGGTGGACAGCTCAGGAAATAGGTAGGGCAGCATGAGGCGGCTAAGTGCAGCGATGGCAGGGGGGGAGTATCGACTAACTACAGCGTCGTACAGGGCCTTAGCGGTTTTGTGTTCGCCAAAATGCGTGAGCTCGGCTAACGGCAGGTGGTTGCGAACGGCTAGGCGAGCTGCAGCGTCACGAGTCTGCCACTGGGAACGGGCGCTAAGCTCAGTTGTGGCAGCAGGAGCGACTGAGGCACCAGACGTGTGGTCAAAGAGAGAGACATTATCCTTGCTATCGCTCATTAGGAACAGCTGCAGGTCATCGAGCCAGGTCTCAAACTGAATCGGGCGGCCCTCAGTATCGAACGACAGAACGCGGAGGGTGGTCATAGCTGTTGGCGCGGGACTGGCAGGGCAGAGCGATTGCAGGCAAGCAGCAGTAGCAGCTGCAGTAGTACTAGCCGTAGCAATAGTAGAAGCTGCAGTGCGGCAGTAGAAACCGGTCTGCCAGGCAACTAGGCAGCTGTGCAGGCAGCGCAACGGGCAGGGCAGGCCGTGCAGGGCAGTGCAAGCAGGGCAGGGCAGTACGGGCAGTTCGGGCAGGGCAGTGGGGTAACGAGGTAACCGTAGTCGGAATGGTGGGCCCGGAAAAAAAAAAACGATCCTACGGTCCTTCTGCTCTACAACCATGTCAGAATGAGAAGCTAGAATGACTGCATTGAAAGAATTGTGGGTACAAGTACTAATCCTAACATTGGGTTGTACCTCATACAGGCTACCCCACTATAGCCTACACAGAACCAGCACATATATAATTTGAGAACACCTTCCAGCTGCACGAGAACCCAAACGAAGATTACCCAACCCTTAGCACTCATGACGCCTGCGTCGATCTCTGCACCACGTTCGCCGAGACGCTCGTGCGAAACCTCAGCAGGCGGTTCAAGGACTTGGACTCCCTGGTGGGAGTGAGGCTCTTCATGCCAGACGAGTGGGAGCTTGGGAGGGCGGAGCGCCACAAGCAGTGTCTAGAGTGCTCATGTCACTCGTGACGCTGTTCAGGGCACAGGAGACTGACTACATCATCCCAGGTATTCCCGTTGCATACATTCATGCTGTCCATGAGGTGCTTTTTTGCAGGTTAAAACTATATTATGAACAGGTATGCCATGCTCTCTTATCCCCTCTCTCTCCCTTCTTTCTAATCTGGCAGGGATCGACAAGCGGCGGGCGATCAAAGAACTGCGTACCTTCTGCCCCATCCTCGCAGGTGCCCCGAAAAACAATCGCAGCTTCCACGCTGGGCTAACTGCAATACTGAAGACAAGCGACTGGACGACGAGCTACCCCAACCTGGTGCGTCTCTGGGTGGCTGTCGCTGTGCTGCCGCTGAGCACAGTGGAGTGTGAGCACGGCTTCTCACGCCAGAATGTTATCAAATCGTGGCAGCGGGGGAGCCTCAAAGACGCCCGCCTTGAAGACCTGATCACGATGTCTCTCCTCGACTACAAGCCCGACTACGATGAGGTGATGCAGATCTGGCGCAGCTACAAGAAGCGCCGCCCATTTGGCAATGTGGCAGCAGCTCCAGCAAGAGAGGGGGAGGACAGTTGCAGTGGCAAGGGAAAGGAGGCAGTTGAGGAGGCGGAGGAGGAGTTGGAAGAACCAGAGGCTAAGTGCTGCAGTGATGATGATGGTTAAATGAACTCTCTGTTGCTGCTGATGCTAGCTAGCTTGCTTGCTTGCTAGTAGCTAATGTTATCTTTTAAGGGACCTTCAATATCGTAACAGCCTTAGCAAAAGGGGAACACTGATGCATCAGACTTTTTGTAAAGGAACACTGAAGTTTCAGGGTTTTTTTTGGGGGGGGACACTATCGATCAAGGATTCTACATAGAGGGGCCCTGATGCATTAACGTGCCTAAAAGTGAATCATAGGCCCTGGCCCCACGCCTGCTGTGGGTGGCTCGGGAGAGGTGTGCCGAGGATGATGCAGTGGAGAGGCAGAGGAGGCGAGAGTAGTATGGTAAGGAAGATAGACAAAAGGTGGTAAGCTAATTCTTCTAAAAATGGCTAAATCAGGAATGCATTCTGTAATTCTGTTCTCCACCTTCTACCTGCTAACCTAAACATGGTACGGTAGTAGAATCATTCTTGACAATGACACATACTCAGACAATCAAATCCAAGTCCGTTACAACCACACTAGCTAACATTCCTTCCAATCATCGAATCAAACTCGCTTCACAATCACATTCGCTTGCATCAGCGCTTGACGCATCCTGCTTGACAACTTGTCTTCCTCCACCTTCAACCAGCATAGCCGGGGAAAGCTCTCAAAAACCCCATCGACTCCAGCCGCAGTAACCCTCGTACACTCCACGAGAGCAAGTCGTTCGAGCGTTTCAATATGGCAGCTGTGAATAACTGTGTCTGACACGTCCTCGTTTTGAGATATACCCAATTCCTTCAAAACAAAACACGCCTGAAGCAAGGCCACCAAACCTTCTTCCCCTAGAGCAGAGCTGTTGATAAGAGTCAGTTTCTTCAAATCCTTGAATGCGGCCTGCCACTGAATGCCGCCAAGCGCCTCATCAATGCTTGCCAACGAAGTTTTTGGAATAGGAAGGCCACTTCGGGCAGCACTGTTAAGAGCGGCGCGACGACAATAGAAAGCAAACCCCCGAAGCGTCAACGATTTGAGAGGAGGATGGATTAGCTCGGCAGACTGAGGATCATCCCTATCAAAGGCTTCTGTACCCATCCTCTTGGGAGAACCCTGGGGCCGAACTAGCATGTGAATCAGGCCTTCCAGCTTGCCTTGAAATGAGTGAAGGGTGAGCGTCTCCAAGCAGCTGAGATCTGTAAGAAGAATGCGTTGGCATGTGTCGAATGAGGCAAGGCTGAGAGTTTCCAGCTGCTTGCAGCAATCTAGCATGGCATTGACCGTTTTCCGAGTGGTCAGATTGAGTTGGAGCGAGAGCGAGCGGAGTGCCGGGTTAGAGCTAGCAATGGCCTGCACACCTTCGTCAGTAATGTTTCTGCATCCGACGACTGACAGGCCAGAGAGGGAGTGAAGGGACCTTGCCAAGCCCTCCAAATCAAGGTACATGATATCACAGGAATCGAAGGAGAGCGTGGTGAGGCTGGTAAAAGAGCTGAGGGTCACGAGAGAAGAGCTGACGCTTGAATACATTAACGTGAGCGACTGGAGTGAAGGAATGGAGGAGGATCCAGAGGTAAGAGTACACAGTATGGGATCGGTGATATTTGAAATGGTCAAAGAGGTGAGAGAAGAGGAGTGACAGATGGGAAAGAAGTCCCGTGGGAAGCTTAAGATGATGAGGGTCAGAGACTGAAGAGCGGTGAAAGTTTCAAAAGCAGAAAATATTATGTGTGGTGTGTTGGAACCGCGAATCTCGAGGGACTTCAAGAACCTGCAAAATACAGCAATCATAAGCGTAAGGCAGGTAACGCACAAAAAACTTATTTAAAAGGCTCACCGGCTGTCTTGACCAAACTGTTTCCACCCAGTCGTGGTGACACGGTCACACCCGAACGCAGAGAAACTTTCCAGTTTTGGGCATTTCAAGGTGACTGCTTCTAGGAGCTCATTGCCGAATCCATTTGGTCCGAGAAACCGGGTACATTCGGCAGTCTTACTCCGCATGCGTAGATTGTTGATGCACGGGAAGATGACGGCACAATCACTTAGGTCTGTCAGAAATTTATGGAAAGAGCCGTTAAAATCGAGGTAAAGCGAACGAGGACAGAGCTTGAGGAAGTCCCGAAACCGCGTGCAGGTGAGAGCCGCGTGACAGCGATCGTCTGGGTCATCGAGGAGAGAGAGGATAGTAAGTAGAGTGTCGTCATCGCGAAAAAGGAAAGCTGCGATTTTTGGCCCCCGAAGGTTTTTCTGCGTTGGCCTTGCGAGAAAGTTGCGGAAAGCTGCATAAAAACACCGCACCCGAATCGCAACTTTTTGCACATCAGAAACGCACATCTTCATCGTACACACAAAAGTGACTTGGCGGTAACTTTTCCACGAACATGTAGGAAACTCGAAGCGCACACCTACATCTCGAGTCGCATTCGCGGCTCCCATTTCGTTCGAACCAAAATCCGCGACATAAGTATGCTGCTTCGTTGTTTCCGTCAAAATACAACATGTGTGTGCACTGTTAGGGTGCTCATATCCACATTAGCCAAAACTACTCCACCAACTCAAAATAAAATTGCACACACAATAACAACCACAACACCAACATAAACAATGCGTCCCCCCTACGTACGATACCGCACACAGTCAACTCCCACAACCAAACCCCACTACTGCCAGACGCATCACTGGTCGTCATCACTCTCCAGCACTTCATCACTCTGCAGCACTTCTTCGGCTGTCCCGTTCTCAGCTCGCCCCCCTGCGCGAGCCCTCTTGACAGGCGTCCTGCATAGGCGGGAAATCACCTCCTGGTTCGATGCTCCGACCTCTGCTGGCACAGCCGCCGGAGGGATGCCGAGCTCATCGGCACGCTCCACGTACGCGTTTGTGACGTTGCGTATCACGCGCCTCCTGCTGCGCTCGTCCCGCAGCAATGGGCCGTCTGGCAGGCTCATGTCGCCCGACGAGTCATCGGACGCGCTGGCAGCAGGTGTGGCTCTGAACCCCTGTTCCACGCATAGTCCCGCATCGCAGTTAATAAAATCCGCGGCCGTCATGTAGCACGCAGGCCTTACCTTGAACTTCTCGATAAGCAACTGCAAATCGACGCATACCGAAATAATAGGCTCGAACATGCCGGTTGCGCACGTGTCACCCAGGTACACCATCAGGGGCGGCCAGCTCGCCGGCACGCATCCTGCGCGCCACCAGCTCCGCTGCATGGTAGCCGCGCGCACACGAGTCCACGCTTCTCCCAGCCACTCGAGTATGTCGTTATAGTCGACATCAGCGATGGAAGCCGAATAGTCGAACTGGAACCGCTTGGACCCTATCGCACGCCTCATCAGCATAACGTGGTAATACGCCTTCAGCGCGTCACCCACTCCCTGCAGGTGCGGCAGGCCCGTCTCCGGAACCGATCCACGAATGTTGACGACTCGGGTGTTCGTGAGGTGCTGCACACTGAAGCCGTGCTCCGTGACGGGCGGCGCCACCTCGCCTGTGATGCGATGCGCCTTGTGAATGGTGAGGATGATGGTGTTGCGATCATGGCTGAAGTGCACATCGTTTATGGTCTCCACAAACTCCGTGAATACCTGTGTGCAGTGAATCAAACATAGCGAGCACGTCACCAACGGCCATTGCGGTACGCAAATACATCGGGGATGGACGCGCTCCTGATGTACTCACACGTGCTATGCACGTCCAACCATAAAAATGCACACAAAGTCCACAATCCATACCTCCGGCGTCAACCGCCCGCGGTTCGTATACCAAACGGCCACCTTGCGCGATGCGGCGCTCGCCCGCCGGCGCTCAGGCCTATTGGATGGCTCTAGCACCACCAGAGGCACTGCGGAACAACTCCCCGTCGCGTTGTAGAGGATGCCGACGCTGACGATACGCTCCACCACATTGCGCTTATTCGGAATGTACGACTTCGGCAGCCGGCTGGGAAGAAAATTAATCTCGTGGAAGCAGAACACGTCATCCGGATGTGCGGTAGCAAGCAGGGCCTTCAGGTCACCCATTGTAACACACTGTCACTCTGGTATGCAAGTATGCATTGAAGTGCACACGACCTCCTCCTACATACGTTTCATTTGACCGTAACGTACCCCCGGCTTGCCCCTGCACGCACACTGTGTACAGCAGTTGAAATTGGCCACACAACCAACCGACCACATTCCCTGCGCCGCACAGAGATAACGCTCTCCTCTGATACGACCACCTGTAACGCCCACATAGGACATCCCGCCCCCACGACGCCACGTACGCGTCACCCATATCCAAACAACCAACTGCCTGAGACCCCGAGTGTGCACCACCACACATTGTGTTTGTGCAACCCCGACCGCGCAAGGAATAAGGGTACCCGTACGCGTTATACGATTCATAACTTAACCACCATACTGCACACCTATACCTGATTGAACGTCTTATCTTCTTAGCACGAGTGTATAATAACATCACCGCTGGATAACACAAGTTCCATCCAACCGCGCTTCTACACATAAAGAACGCACTACGCAGTGATTTAGGGTTTAAAATTCCGAGCTGCAACCACTGTCTCTAAACGCATTGCGTCACTCGCATAGTAGAAACCTATTTACTAGCTGCACCTTTTTGTTGCTGTACGAAGGGCACAAGTGCACCACTCTCTGCAGGCTTTTCAGCTCCACCACCGAGAACCTCACATCCTCCACTGTCTTGTGCAGCTGCGTACATCCCGTGAGGTTGCAGCTCCCAGCCTTCTCATAGTACATCACATATGCGTACCCCTTCCAATCCCCATCACGGTCAACCGCCCTGAAAATGCACAGAAATTTTGCATACCAGTCCCCACCCTTGTCATTGAGCAGCGCCACGTCCGAATACCACCTCTCTCGGGGCGACGCCTTCACAAATGTCCCTTTGGCCACCAGCTCGCCGCCTCTTGTGCGCGGAATGGCCACCGCCGTGTGGACCTGTCACCCCATCCCCACCAAACCAACAACACGTGCACATCATGAGTGCGGTGAGCACCATCATGTAAGACTACAAACGTCACATGTCCGCCACATTGTAATCACTTCACCTGCACGCTGTTGGTAGCCAGACCCAACGCCTTAAACTCGTCAGCCAAACCCTTCATATCGTCTCCCAGCGCGGTTATGTACTCATCGTACACTGGATCCGACGCTCCGCCAATCCGCATTGTCCGATACTTCTTCGTGAGCACCGGTTTCTTCGTCATGATTGCCTGCACGTACCACACGCATTCGCACAACGAACCACACGGTGTTTGAATCACGCCTCCACCCCGGTGTACGGTGTACTCTGGACTACCAACACTGGGCATCATCGTCGCCAAGACCCCCTAACACACCTCACGCAAGGCGCACGCGTACTGTCGCCCACCCCCAGCGTCCGCCGCCACCTCGCGGTACACCTCGCGCTGCACCTCCTCCTCCACGATTCGTCGAGGTATGTCGCTCCAATTGCTCCCTCTTACTGGACCCTTCACCGTGCCCTTGTGCGTGCACTCCCACATTTCGGTTGAATAGTGGTGCGGCATCCCACGCTCCTTCACGTTGTCCAGCAAATGTCTTATCATGTGTATCTTTGGGAGCTTCCAGTGGGATGCCTGCGATGGGAATGCCTTCGGTAGCAACGCCACCAACCTGCACCGGCACCCCCGACAAGGCACAATACTGGATGCATCACCGTATTTGGCGACCCCAAAATAGCTGTGCAATCTTGAGGCATAGCCTCCCATAAATCTTGTTGACCCAACGGCGTGGGGTATACAAGTACTCACGCTATCGCATGCTGCCGGGCAATCGCAATTGTCGTGTGTGTGTGCCTGTCAACCCCCAGAAACGCCTTGTAGAACACGGCATACATCCGGAACGCCTTGACCTGCAAAGCACGCAGCTCTCCCTCCGGTCCATCCTTCAATGCACTCTCGTCTGCCACCAGTATCGGCATTATCTGCATCATGCTCCTGTGCTCGAACGCCGCGTAGTTTGCGCCAGAACTGAAGAACGATGATCCCCCAGGGATACGGAGGAGAACGCTTGGAGTGAAACGCTTGAACTCCTTCTTGCGGCTGCGCACATACATCGTACGATGTCGTCATCCGCTGACACACATGGGGGCCTAGACCCCACCTAAATCCCTGCAGAATATAGTTGGCTACCGCTCTCACACCCGACTACACCTAACTCACCTTTCTAGCAGCCGCATCTCAACCTTTCCAAGGGGTTCGATGTAGGAGTCCATCATGTGGATCAGCACACCGGAGTCCAGCACGTGCAGTGTGTCTGCTAGGCATGCCAGGTACACGTTTCCCCACTCTGTGTCTGCGAAATTCCACCTTTGAAGCACGCACTGCAACCATCCCACAGACGACACAGTGTTGTCAAACAGTCCACATGATATCCAGCCCCCATTCATTACGCACCACCAAACCGCGCACCAGCAAACACACCTCGATCGGATGGGTTGACCATAACTTCCGCACATCGTCTGCCTCGCCCTTCTTCTTGCACGCCAAGATTTGATGAACAATGTCCCTCTGCTGATCGGGGGTCCGTGGATCACACTTCCCCACCATCATGGTCAACTCCCCCTTCACAGCATAGCAGTTAGCGCATGGCCGATGCGATCCTTGCTGCAGAGTTGCGGAGGCTCTGCTGGATTCCGGGAAGTCGGCAGGGTATCCGTACAGGCAAGGGACCGCCTTGTGCACCTTCCCGTCCGCGTCTGTGCAGTAGAAGAAGCGTACTGGCGCGCTGCATAGTGCCGCAATGCACACATAGTGTTCACTTAGTGATGGATCGTATGCATATCTCCCAATAGGGTGGCTACTAACTGGGGTGGCCCCCCTTCCCCACCAGTGTATCGTTATCATCCCCACCCCCATCCCCTCCCAGTACCTGGCGGACTCTCGCATGATGGGCGCGAGTATTATCTTCAGCGCCTCCTGGAACACGCGCGTCTTCTCCGTGGGCGACGCCCATTCAGGCGGGAATGGAAGCACCGCCGCCAATGTGTGCCCGGGCTCCACTCCTCGCAATTCTTCGGGTATGTTGACAAGTGATATCAGCACAGGCCACGCGTTCCTTCGTCCATTCCGTGATGCCTGCGTGCTATCGCTGTATATCAGCACGCCTAGTACGAGTGCCTGGTCGTCGTTAATCTCCTTCTGCCATGTAGAGCGCACGGGCCGGTGAGCGTTGTGACACCTCGTGCAGGTACCAGTATGCACGACATATGACAACTGAACAACAAACATGTGCGTACCTGAGCAGAGTGCATCCAATCACCTGTCTCCGGTCCTTCAAATACCCTCTCGTTGTTCTTCTTCCGATATATCTTCCTCGGCTTCCATACGAACCCCTTTTTGGATGAGAACGTCCGCACCAGCTTCTTCAAGATCTGTGTGCGTAGCGCAAAAACGTGGGTGAGAACATGATGCGGGCCAACTTCATCTACACGTCACCCCGACATCGCCTCCAGGTTGGCCTCCCATCACGTACCAACTCGGTGTCGCGGAAGTGCAGTAGCAGCTTCATTTGCAGTCCTTTGGGACCCCTCACCACTATCTCCTCCGTTTTCCACGGGACCATGTCGGCTGGAGCTCGCGCCATGCCCCAGCGGCGCACATCCACCCAGTTGCGCCATCGTCTGAGAGCCCTTAGGTTGAAGCGAGGGTTGCGGAAAATGTGTAGCAGACGGTTAACTTCCCGGTGCGACAGATCGGCGTCACAGAAAAACAGGTACAACTCTGTCAGTGTATCAAAAATCTCCGTCCTATCGCTGCCATCTGTAGACTCGGCGTTAGCGCCGTCGGATGGTGTATCCGCGTCGCCAACCACACTAACTTCGGGTATCGACACCGTTGGAGCAACGGAGAGAAAGCTGCCATCGTTGTTTTTAAGCCTGGATGCCGGTGGGGTATTTGGTCTACTCTCTCCTTCGCACGCAACGGCTTCCAAATATGCCGCCCACAAAAGTTGTTCACGCTTCCTCTTCAACTCCTCGCGACAAACAGCCCCATTCGCTACATGGGACTGTAACCTGCTGTCGTCCTTAAACACCGTCTTGCACACCAGGCAACTGTTCCCCGCCATCCTACAGCCGTGAAACCCTAGGAAGCTGTGTGGTGTGCGCACAGAACATAGCCGTACTCGTTGCAGTGAAAGGTACAATTATATTATGTGTGTATGTGTTGTATGTGATTCGGCATATACAATTGTCCCACCGCCCCACCAATTATTGTAACTTGTTTATCGGGATTTTAAAAATATCATCAACTGTTTCCGTAACCACCAACACCATTGCATATCTTTGATTCTTTGTCATGTCGATTCACAAAAGTTTTGGCAAACTCAGTCCACCTTCAACTGACGTAACATAACACATTGCAATCGCGTGTTCTTGTTGTACAAGTTTAATAACCATGTACGCCTCGATTGCAATAACCGGGACTCGGCGCGCGATGAGACACATACACGTATGTTCACCATACGGCGTACATCGTTACCATAATTCGCGTCATCCGGCCTCCTTATAAAAAATTTCGAACTACAGGTACACAACCGCACATTCGCTTGCATGCATCTGCTTGGTAACCCGGCTTCAACCTCCGACCACATCATCCGAAACCCTAGGATTAGCACACGTGGATCTGCATGGCGCTGAACCATCACATCCTCTCGAGTGGTCGCATCACACCTGGCCATCGCATGCACGCTTGCGCCAACGGTGTAGATCAATGGAGCTCTACATGACGGTCACACCAGATGTGCATGATCCAAGAGGGTTACGCCTTTCTTTCTCCTTCATTTTCCATAGTATCCTCACCGCTTGCGCTCCCCGTAAATGTGTTCCTCCTGCCAACCCCACCTGCTCTCGTCTTAATAAGCCGGTGTAGTTTGTATTCTAGTCGTTGTTAGATAAAGATGGCGAATCCTAAGCAGTTGACATCTAAGCGCAACAGGTTCTATCAACCCGAAACTAGCAGCAGCTCCGACGACCAAGATCCTGCCCCGCCGACGTGCAGAACCAGGTCGTCGAAAAATGCCGAGTCTAACATGAAGAATCCAGGGCCGATCCCGCCAACTAAGGACTCCGGAAGGGCCAGGAAGTTTGCTACTCATAAGGAGGATACGGCGCGGGAGCAGGTGCAGGAAGATTTGGTGGCCCTCGTCGCACGGAATTACATGAAGTCTTCGTACAGAAACATGACGCTTATAAATCACCGCGGCGTCGGGTGCGAGGTGGATAAGGACGACCTCATGTCGATCGAGGATGATCAGTGGATTACTGATGGCGTGCTAGACTTTCACAACGTGTAAGTATCGTCACGGCGGTCACCTGGTTGACGCTTTGTTGCGTAGTATCTGATGTATGGACAACATCTAATACGCTTTGTTATTTCTTGTTCATTAACTGTGCAGGCTGCTTAGCATCCGGAAGCCGACTCTCCGTGACGGGAAAACATGGGCTGCCTTGGACTGCAAGGCGTACTTCCAGACGAACTCGTGTGGTGCGCCTTTGACGCTGGGGAACGGGCTTCCGCTACTGCAGCACGACTATCTCGCGATCCCTGTGCTAGAGGGGTACGTATCACAAGTATCCGGTTCGTGAGAGGATTCTTTAGCATGACACCGATGGTTGTCTAACCCTAATCCCAACATACCCTCTCATGTTGAGCGTAGGGAGCACTACTCGCTCGTCATCGCTGTATCTCCATCGGTGCTTACCAAGTCCGCGAAATCCGAAGGCAAAGAGCGAATGAAGTTGGTCTTGCTGGACAGTAGCATAAAGACAAGGAACACCCGCATGATTTTTGCAGGCACCAAGCTGTGAGTACGGGGTTCACTGTCGACGTTGCATGTGTGAGAAACTAAGAGTGAACGAGAATGGTGGACTAGAAGGAGAATGAGAGTACAAGTATGTCAAACCTAGAGTTGTGTACCCCCTAGAAGCTAACCCACAATAGCCTACACAAATATAACACATACAATGTTTGACACACCCCCATAGGCTAAGTGGGAGAGAACAAGGGGTCACAGGACCAGTCAAAGCAAAGCAAGACAAGCTCAGGGTGGATCTCAAGGATACCACACAAATTCCGAGCACAAGCAAGTGGTCACAAGACCAGTTCACATGCATTTTGAGAAAAAAACAAGAGGTACAGTGATCACAACCTAGCAAGTGTAAGCATGCAGGTATATATAGAGAGATCACAGTACAAGCAGAGTCAAGAAGTGAGCAGGTGAGGGGGAGTAGGCACAAGGCCTAGCACAGTACAGAAACGCTGATGGTCACAAGGCTGAAGCGCCTTGGTGAACACATCAGCAGTGTTGGCCCGAGTGGCCACGTACGAGAGACGAAGCTGACCCCTCTGCTGCAGCTCTCGCGCTAGGAAGTAGCGCAGAGCGATGTGCTTCGTTCTGTGCTCCAGTCTGTGCTCCTCACACAAGGCAATAGCTGCCTTGTTGTCGACGTACAGCACTGGAGGAGAAAGAGGCCGCTCTCTGAGGTCGGTCAGCAGGTAGGTGAGCCAGCGTAGCTCCTGGGCCGCCATGGCTGTGGCGTAGATCTCAGCCTCACAACTGGAGCTGAGAACAGAAGAAGAGCGTGTAGAACGCCAGGAAACAGAGCCAGAGCCAAGGCTGAAGGTGTAACCCTGAGATGACCGCTGCGTAGCCTGGTCGTCAGCCCAAGAAGCGTCTGAGTGTCCAGTGAGAACAACGTCGCGCCGTCCTCCAAGCACAAGCCCCATGCCCGACGTACTGCACAAGTAGCGCAACACCCTCTTAGCGGCATCCATGTGCTCCTTCCGGTGACGGCCAGGAGCGACATAGCGTGCTAGGATGCTAAGAGGGTATGCAAGGTCAGGTCTAGTGCAGGTCATCAGGTACATGAGGCAGCCCACAAGCTCTAGATACGGGCCACTCGGCTCTACGGACTCATCCGAAGGCAGAGCTGAGAGCGAGTGACTGGTAGGCAGAGGGGTGGGCTGAGGCGAGGAGTACGTGAAGCGGAAGCGCTGAAGGACCTGCTGCACCATGTGTGACTGAGTCAAGGTGATGGTGCGCTGTGCTCTGTCCCGGGTGATCCGCAAGCCAAGATAGCTTGTCAGCTCACCCAGGTCTGTGCACGTGTGTCTCTTCTGCAGCTCCGACTTCACGTGGGCGAGTGCCTCAGTGTCAGCAGTAGCAAAGACCAAGTCGTCGACGTACACGAGAACGTAGAACGGCGGCAGAGTGGTGTCGGTGCGTAGAAACAGCGACGGGTCAGCAGTAGAAGGAGCAAACCCAAGAGCCGCAAGTGTAGTCCTCAGTGTGTCGTGCCACTCACGGGGTGCCTGGTGGAGACCGTAGACTGGCCGCCGGAGGCTCCACTGGGTACCAGGAGGGAACGACCCAGTGAAGCCAGGTGGGCGGCGCAGCCAGATCTCCTCGTGCAGGCTGCCCTGTAGGAACGCAGTGCTGAAGTCAAGAGAGTGGAGCTCGTAGTCACGCTGAGCGGCGACGTGCAGCAGAACCCGAAGAGTGGTCATCTTCGGGGTCGGGGAGAAGGTCTGGAAGAAGTCAACTCCCTCTCGCTGACTGAAGCCTCGTGCAACGTAACGCGCCTTGAAGACAGGCGGAGAACCCGGCGGCCGCTTCACCCTGAAAATCCACATGCCACTGACGATGTTCGCCCCAGGTGGGGGAACCTCGTCGACGTAGGTGCCTGTGGATTTCCAGGAAGCCATCTCTGCGTCCATGGCTGTCTGCCACTGAGAGGAGTAGAGACCCTCCATCGCCTCTGCGTAGGAGCGTGGGGTCGGGATGTCTGGTGCATCCGGGTCTCCCTCAGGGGCAACTAGCATGGACACGAGATGAGGCAAAGCAGCGGCAAAGCACTCAAACTCCTCCTGTCTGTCCTCAAGGACGTCCGTGCCAAGAGCACACTCACCCCCGACGGACGGAGGACAGACAGACTCAGACTCAGCAACAAGGCT